AGCCCAAATACTCCCCCCACCCTCGTCTCTCGCCGCAAACCCTAACCCTAGCCCCCCACCCCCTCGCCGCCGCACCAATCTTCGCCGCGCCGGCGGCCGCTCCCCTCCGAGGTAACGACACGCTCTACCCAGGGTTCCTGCCCGCTGCCGCCGCCGATTTCGGTCCATTTGGTTTCCTCCGCGCCCGCCGCGCGCTTGCTCGCACCGAGGGGTTTTCGGGGGGTTTTGGGGTGCACGCGCTGGTTCCGAATCCGTCCGAGTTGCTCGCCGGCGCGCCCGTGGGCGGTCCCGTGTTCGCTCTGGGCGGGGATTCGAGGTCCCAACCTGCTATCGCCGCTGCTTCTCTCGGTGTACGCATATGCTCTTGCTGTGCTACCCTGTTTGCCGGGGTTCGGGGATGGGGCTCTCACAGTTCCTGGTCGCCTGCTTGCTCGGTTGATTGATGTATCTGTTGATTCGGTTGATTGATGTATCTATCTGCAATTACTGTTTATATGGTGCCATGATTGTGATGTGGTTTCATTTCAATGCACGCAAGTACAGCGCGGCCTTGGTCCGGAGATAGGCGCGTTCCGCGATGGATGGGCTCGGGAACTCTGCGCTGAACGCCTCAGAAGCGGTGATGAAGAGGCCCAGGAGCGTCGCGTCCAGGAGGCCGAGGCCCAAGGAGCAGCTCGCTTCCGAGTACAAGGACATATCGTGCGCGCCGTCGCGGAGCATTTCCCCGGAAGATGAGGCAGCTGCCGAGGCCAGCGGGCACCGGCGCAAGGAGCTGTACCTCAACGGGCCTGAAGGTAGGGGCTCCACCCACCATAGGAATGCCCTGTCCAAGAAGATAAAGAAAGAGGAGGGATCTGCAGGGGATATTGATATTGGCCACAATCGGAGCAGCAAGCCCAATGATGCCAAGCATATTACTCATGGTGTTCTTGCACTGGCCTCCTCAAGAAACCCTGGATCGACTGATGCCTCGCAGTTGTCCTCAAGGGACACCCCTGTGCCAGTGGAAAATAGGGTGAGAAAAGTTAAGCTCAAGGTTAGCGGACTTAACCGAATCATACCGAAACAAGAGCCTGTTGACGTTGGCATGCCTGGCACATCGGATGTCTCTTTCCATCGCCAAAAGCAGAAGGTTTGTTGTTTCTACTTGACGGAGAAACCTGCGCAAACGGAATATGCTATCATATAGAAACTTGCTTAATTTTTTCAAGTAGAACTAAGTATTGTCTGTAGGTAATTGGTGAGAGATGCTTTTACTTGTCATTTCATAGTAGTACAATGTACTTATTTTAGAGCTCATATGAAATAACTCAACCCCATCCAATTATCGCTGATGTGAAAACAAGACTGATACAGCTGTAGCAACGATTATTCTTTTGTCGCTTGTCGGAATGGTAGTATTTACTCTAGTGACGTAATCTTATATGCGTATCAGTCAATGTCGTTTTTCTTTCGGTTCAACTCTCTTGTCTATGCCTTTGCAAAATGCCCTGTTATAGTTTCACTTCGGTACTGATTGACTGAAATGGCAAATATGAGGTGCTACTATTTAATTTATGTTGATAGCTTTGAAAACTGCCCATTTTCATTTTTTGTCGGTACTATATTTAATTTATAACGACTACTCTGTCGGTTGTCGGAATGTTAATATTGTTGTAGTGAAGTAATCTTATATGCCAACGAGTTAATGTTGTTTTGCTGTTGGTTCAACTCTCTTGTCTATGCCTTTGCAAAATTCCCTGTTTTGGTTTGCCTTATTTTATCTATGCCTTTGCAAAATGCCCTGTTATGGTTTGCCTTATCTTATCTATGCCTTTGCAAAATGCCCTGTTATGGTTTGCCTTATCCATGCCTTTGCAAAATGCTGTGTTATGGTTTATCCTATATATGCCTTTGCAAAATGCCCTGTTATGGTTTGCCTTACCATGCCTTTGCAAAGTCCTGTGTTATGGTTTATCCTGTATATGCCTTTGCAAAATGCCCTGTTATGTTTTCTCTTAGGTATCTGATTGACTGAAATGGTAAATATCAGGTGCTATTATTTAATTTATGTTGATAGCTTTGAAAACTGCCCGTTTTCATTTCTTGTCTGTACTATATTTAATTTATAACGACTACACTTTTGTCGGTTGTCGGAATGGTAGTATTCGCTGTAGTGAAGTAATCTTATATGCCAATGAGTCAATGTTGTTTTGCTGTTGATTCAACTCTCTTCTATGCCTTTGCAAAATTCCCTGTTATGGTTTGCCTTATCTTATTTATGCCTTTGCAAAATTCCCTGTTATGGTTTGCCTTGTCTTATCTATGCCTTTGCAAAATGCCCTGTTATGGTTTGCCTTATCCATGCCTTTGCAAAATCCCGTGTTATGGTTTATCCTGTATATGCCTTCGCAAATTGCCCTGTTTTGGTTTCTCTTAGGTATCTTGACTGAAATGGTAAATATGAAGTACTATATTTAATTTATGTTGATAGCTTTGCAAACTGCCTGTTTTCATTTTTTTGTTGTGCTCTAAGTGGGTCCCTTCTTTTTATAGGATTCTGGTGAGCAGAAACATCACAGCACAAGAAAGGATAGTCATGGTAATCAAGTTGATGGAAAACGTGGAGATAAGCATGACATTTCACCATCTTCTGACCTGGTTCGCAAAAGCAAAAGGGTCCCTAAGAAGCGAACTCTTGATTCTGATGATGAAGATGATGAATTACGTTATCTTGAGAAACTTAAAGCGGCTAAAGCGGCACCAGAACAGCCCATGGCTACTGACCAGCCTCTAGCTTATGGTTATGGTGAGGATGGTCTCAGGAAAAAGAAGCTATCCAAGGTTTCTAAAAATAAGAGCACTCCTTATGAAGTGGACAACGACTTCACTATGTCACAATTTAGCAGAGATGTTAGGAAGAAGGTGAAACTGGAGGATACCAGTGATTTTCTTGTAGAGGAGGAATTTGGGTTGGATGAGTCTGATAGATTAATTGAAGCTGATTCACCTTTGGGTGTAAAGATTGAAGCTCCTGGCCTAACAACAAGGCAGCGAGCCCTCCAAGGCAGGGGTGGCCATGGTGAAAGCATGATTGAATTTCCCGACGGGTTACCAGCTGCTCCATCATCTAGAAGTACAGTTCCTAGAATATGTTAATACGAGTATATTTATTGATAACTAATGTGCTGTATCTCAGAAGAAAATGCTAAATGGTCTTGGTATTTAACGCTGCAGGGCAAAAGGATAAGCTTTCAGATGTGGAGATACAAGCCAAGAAAGCAGAAGTGGCTCAGAGGCGTAAGATGCAAGTAGAGAAGGCAGAGAGAGAGCAACAGGTTTTGTTTTTCTTCTGGCTCATTGCTTCCTTTCTTTTTTTATGTTGGGTGACCCAATTTTAATGGTCCCTACTGTACAGGCTGAAGCAATGAGGAAAATATTGGGGATTGACACAGAGAAGAAGAAGGAAGAGAGGAAGCAGAAAGAACGTGAAGACAAGGTACAATACATCAGAGTTGTATAGTAGCTGTCCTTTCTTCCCTTGCTAGCTATAATGGCAATTGCATTAATTTTTTTTCTCATGCCACGCAGGAAAAGCAAGCAAAATTCGAGGAATATAAAAGAAGCTGCATCCAGTGCGTAATGCGACCAGAAGGAACAATTGTTACATTCCCTGATACCATGGGCCTTCCTAGCATATTTAACTCTAAACCTGTCAGGTTAAATACAATGCCTACTTCTGGCTATTTTACATGCATCATTTGCGAGTGACTAGTTCATTTTGATTCTCATTGTGGTAACGTGTGCTTACATTCAACACCCCTGGCTTGGCTTTCATTTCTCCAGTTACCCACCTCCAAGAGAGAAGTGCGCAGGCCCCTCATGCCCCAACCCTTACAAGTACCGTGACTCCAAGACGAAGCTTCCCCTCTGCAGCCTGGAGTGCTACAAGGCCGTCCAGGGAGGTGGTGGGACGATGGCGTGCTGATGCTACAGAGTTGATGGTGCAAGTAACGCGCAACCGCTGGCGGACATGGAGGAGCTGGAGAAGTGCATCTCACCCAATGCCCTGCCTGTTTTGCCGTTTTTGCGTTGCCTTTGCTAGTCTGAGGATTGAAAACCAACCGATGACAGATGATGTTGAGGTGCCTGCTGCTGATTTCCTTTGTTGGTCCTCGTGGATGTATGTATGTATGTAGCAGTGCCGTGCAAAAGAGTCTGGTTTATGTGCTAGTATGTGACAAGTGGAGGATTAGCCATGAATTGTGTACAGTAATGGTCCGGCTTGACGCTAGTGCGTTGTTGGCCATGATGGGATGAGTTGTACAATGCGTTGTGAATTTGGTCTCTGGGCGCAGCTGTCTTAGGGCCCGTTTCTGTAGACTTATGCAGGAATGGAGGTAGACCTGCATCCTCTGCTTGGCAGATTGTGCCGTAGTCTTCTTTTCTAGATGAATTGTGCTGGGGCCTGGTAAGGATGATGGCCAAATGCTGCGTGTTAACTTGGACTTTTACTCTATTGAAATTTCGAATTCGGTATGAGAATCCGAAGATGGCCAATAATAATTATGAGAGCAGAAAATAGGTGCATGGACTGGGCGTGGAAGATGGAGATCGAATTGGAGGTGTATGCCTAACAGGTCCAAGACAGGGAAAGGACCCAAGACCAAGCTAAGACAGGAGTCAAACAAAGCCTATCCCAAGCACCTATCCACCCACCACCACCAGGACAACAATTTTGGTATACAGATGACGCAGAAAATTGGCAAGCCATATATAGAGAGAGTTGCTTGTAGCTTTGGGCAGACACAAGCACAGCACAAAACCATCATCCCACGAGCAGATCGACAGGAGTGGGAAGAGCAAGTTTAGGACCAACCAAGGATGAAGAGCAGCACGCTGGTGGCGATCCTAATCCTCCACACCATGACGGTCATGGGAATCCTCTCACACTCACAGGCCGTCGACGGTACGTTCGCTGCTGATGCTTACCGTCCGTCCCAATTTACGTATCTGTCTCGCGCGGAACAACCTTCTGATTCTATATCTGCTGCCTGTGCAGTCGATTTCCCCAAGTGCTGCGACAACTGCAGCACCTGGTCGGGGGGCATGTTCTGCGACGACGTCGGCCCCAAGTGCCGCAACGGCTGCGCGAACTGCCACGTGGTGCAGACGACCCCCGTGAAGACGTTCCGGTGCGGAGATGCACGCGCCGCCCACTTAGGGCATCTCCAGCCGCGCCCTCAAAAAAGCCTTTCCAGACTTTTTTTTGCGCCAACGCCGAAAAATCGGCCCAGTCGCGCCCTCAGGAGCCCGATTTTCGCCGGTTTGGTCCGAAAACAGCGCCGGCGGACTCAAGCCGAACCCGGCGTGCTGGGGGCCGCCCGGGGACGCCGGGGCGAACTGTTTTGGCGCGAAACAGCCGCGGGCCCGCCGCGTCAGCGACTCTACCCTCCTCTCGGTCCTTCGTCGTCCTCATCGCCTTGTTTCCCGCAGCGAATCAATGCCAAAGCTGCCGCGCTGCCGCGCCGGTCAGCCTGCGCCATTGATGCCTCACGGGCGGCGTAGTGAAGACCGGATGACGCGCGTCCCTCGCCCTCCCTCGCCCGCCACGCGTACTCACGGCGGCTCGCGCACGGGCGGCGCCTCGGCCTATATAAGACGCGCCTCAGAGCACTCGGCGACTCGTACTCTCTCGCCGTCGTCGTTCCTCCCTCGCCTCTCTCGCCGTCGTCGTTCCTCCTTCTCTTCTCTCTCGCCGTCTCCAGCACCCATGGCCGAGCGCTTCCCAGGTGACGGCGCGGCGGCGAACGGCTTTGGCCGCCGCCATCTTCACGAAAGCGAGGCTCGCCTCCTTTTCGAAGCTGAGTACCCGGTCCCGCCGGACATGCGGGTACCCGGGGCGTGGAGGATCAGCGCCGGCGACGTGCCGGTGCCCCCGATACCCACCGGCGCGGTGCGGCGTGCGGAGATCGCACGCATCCGCTCGTCCCTGCCACGTGCGGTGAGGGAGGGGCCATGGTACGTCCCCGACAGCCCGCTCTGGGAGCCCTACTTCCGCCGCCGCCACGCCGAGCAGCTCGAGGCCACCAACGGCATCGAGCCCTCCGGCAGGCTCAACGCCGTCGGCCGGCGTCGGTGGTGGGGCGTGCCCGGGCGCATGTTGGAGGCCGTCCTCGAGTACATCGAGGACGACAACACGCCGCGCCTCGAGTACCCCGCTCCCCCGTCCTTCACACGCCGCCGGGGAAGCTCCTGGACCCCGAGGCGCATGGAGACCCGGGGGTCCTCCTCCTCGTCCGGCGGCTCCCCCTGCCTCCATCTCCGCCCCGTCAAGCCGGAGCCCCAGGGCGCGCCTGTCAGCGCGCGCACCCGCAGCTCCGGCATCCGCATCGGCGACAACGCCTCCCCCACCGGCCGCTTCGTCCTCGTCGAGCCCAAGCCGGAGCCCAAGCCGGAGCCCAAGCCGGAGCCCGGCCTCCCCGTGGAGTACGAGGAGATAGCCCGGCGTGGCTTCTCCGACGAGGACGCCCTGCGGTGGGCGCGGGACGACTACCTCCGCGACGAGATGGTCCGGCAGCGCCGGGCCCTGGAGGAGATCGCCGTCCGCAAGCGTGGGCGCGAGGACGAGCACGACGTCGTGGTCCTCAGCGACGACGACGACGACGCCCCGGACCGTCCAACCCGCCGCGCCAACCGGGGGAGGGATGCAGCAGGGACGGCGGAGGCGTCGGCGGGGGCGATGACGACAACGACGACGGTGACTACACGCGGTTCTACCGCCTCCTCGGCATGTAGAACCGCGTGGGCGGGCGGCGAGGCGGGCGGTGAGGGAGACGGCGGGGGTAGCCCGCGGTAGTTTTGCCCTTTTTTTAAAGTATGTTTAAATTTGAACGAACTCGCCGATGTTTGTGTTAAATTTGAGTCGTGTTTGCACCGTATTTGACTTTTTTAAAATCCCGTGGGGAGCCGCGACTGGGGGGCATCACGCCCCCAGTGCGCGGTTTAGCGCCGGTGCGTTCCCAGGGAGCGATTTTTTACTCCTCCTGGAAGGCCAACGGCTGGAGATGCCCTTAGACACGCCTTGCCCGCCGCCGTGCAAAAAGAACTGATCCCTCCAGCTCCCTCGGACAGTGAGATCGATGTTGCGCCCAAAACATAAAATAAAAAGGAGCAATCCTAGACCTATGTACAGTTACGTGAGGTTTTTACGTAAATGCTGATGAGATGAGCAGAGCCACGCTCAGCGACAATATAGTTGATGCTGCTTTAAATAAACAGTCTTCCTAAGTCTCGTTGATGCTATATCTATGAGATTTTACATTGAAATCCATGTAAAACTATCTTTTTAGTTTATTTTTTCTCTTTTAATGTTATGTCACTTGACTGAAACTTGGTTAAATCTTAGTCGACTGAGATCTAGCCATACCATTTAAATAAATAAACACTGGTATTACTTTATATATACGTCTCCGCTTAATCAAATAAAAAGATCAGTTTTATTTATTGAAAGTTTTCTCCCAAATAAAAATCAGTTTATTTGTGCGATACATTTGTGCTGTCCAGTGCGCAGCGATGAGGGGAACCTTCTCCGTGCTCAAGCATATATCTACGATTGTCACACTCGGTTCGAGTCGGAATAATTATTTTTTCCAACGTAAGGATAAATTCCAGCTTTGTGTCGAAAGATCTTTTATTAGGGGTAAAAACCTGATTTATTCATCAAAATCCATATGAAGTGGGACACGTCTTGGGTCGTGGGGGACGCCAAACCAAACGTGGCGACCCGGACCTCTAGAGAATTTTTTTTGGCTAAACTATGTGAAGGAAATATGCCCTAGAGGCAATAATAAAGTTATTATTTATATTTCCTTATACTTCCTCCGTTTCTTTTTACTCCGCATATAAGATTTGGTCAAAGTCAAACTACACAAAGTTTGACCAAATTTATATTAAAAAATATGAACGTCTACAATATTAAAACTATATAGTATGAAAATACATTTTGTGGTGCCTCTGATAATATTGATTTCATATTATCAATGTTTACATTTTTAATATAAAGTTAGTCAAACTTTACAAATCTTGACTTTGACCAAACCTTATATGCAGACTAAAAAGAAACGGAGGGAGTATCATGATAAATGTTTATGATTCATGCTAGAATTGTATTAACCGGAAACTTAGTACATGTGTGAATACATAGACAAACAAAATGTCACTAGTTTGCCTCTATTTGACTAGCTCGTTGAATCAATGATGTTTATGTTTCCTGACCATAGACATGAGTTGTCATTTGATTAACGGGATCACATCATTAGAGAATGATGTGATTGACTTGACCTATCCGTTAGCTTAGCACGATGATCGTTTAGTTTGTTGCTATTGCTTTGTTCATAACTTATACATGTTCCTATGACTATGAGATCATGCAACTCCCGAATATCGGAGGAACACTTTGTGTGCTACTAAACGTCACAACGTAACTGGGTGATTATAAAGGTGCTTTACAGGTGTCTCTGATGGTGTTTGTTGAGTTGGCATAGATCAAGATTAGGATTTGTCACTCCGATTGTCGGAGAGGTATCTCTGGGCCCTCTCGATAATGCACATCAAGATAAGCCTTGCAAGCAATGTAGGTAATGAGTTAGTTACGGGATGTAGCATTACGGAACGAGTAAAGAGACTTGCCGGTAATGAGATTGAACTAGGTATTGAGATACCGACAGTCGAACTCGGGCAAGTAACATACCGATGACAAAGGGAACAACGTATATCATTATGCGGTTTGACCGATAAAGATCTTCGTAGAATATGTGGGAGCCAATATAAACATCCAGGTTCTGCTATTGGTTATTGACCGGAGACATGTCTCGGTCATGTCTACATAGTTCTCGTACCCGTAGGGTCCGCACGCTTAACGTTTGGTGACGATCGGTATTGAGCTTATGTGTTTTGATGAGCCGAAGGTTGTTCGGAGTCCCGGAT